GTCTTTACGGAGATAAGTTAAAATGAGGTCCTTAGCACAGGCCCAAATCCAATATGACTGGTGTTCTCATGAGAAGAGGAAATTTGGACACAGACACATGTGGTGGTAAGAGGTATGAAGACATAGTTAGAAGTCGGCCATCTATAAGTCAAGGAGGGAGGCCTGGAACAGATTCTTCCCTCACCACCCTCAGAAAGAATTAACTTTGATCTCAGACTTCCAGCCTCCAGAACTGTGAGAAAATACATTTCTGTTGCTTAAGTCACCAGTCTATGGTATTTTCTTATAACAGCCCTAACAAACTAACACACCCAGCAAGTCATTAAACCTTCTAGAGCCTCAGTTTCCACAACTGCAAAATGGGAATCCCTGTCCTGCCCACCTCACAGGTTTGCTGTGGGGATAAAATGAGACCAGACGTGGGAGACGTTTGTAAACTATGAAGAGTTCTACAGATGACAGGATGTCTAACTTCACTTTCAGAGCTGGATCTTTGGGTCCTATTGGGCAAGAAAGCAGATAAAGGCATGGGATCCTGGGACTGTGGTTCCCAGTGAGAGGTGCAGAAGCTGGAATACAGCCTTGGCAATCTCCTGCTCCCAACCCCCAGGGAAGGGAGGGGAGCTGCCCTCCTCCACAGTTATTTAGTGGATGTGGGAGAAACAGAACTTGCGTGGGAGAAGGGAAAGGGAACAGAACAGAAACTGGAGAGCTCTAAGAAATTAAAAGAAAGAAAAAGGACACATGTAAGACCCCGGGGGGTTTTCTGGATAAAAACAACACCTTTTATTTGCATGATACCCTGCAGGTCACAAAACACTTGGAGGCACTGGGTTCTCGTTAACCTACTTGAGGTCAGGAATGCCTTTGAGAGTCTGATGAAAGCTACATACCCTCTCTCAGAAAAAAGTAACTCATGCACACAACACATAAAACATTATAGAGCAGCACTGTCCAGCAGAACTTTCTAAGAGGATGAAAATGTTCTGTAGCTATGCTGTCCCATACGGTCGCCACTAGCCTCCTGTGGCTACTGAGCACATGAAACATGGCTAGTGTGACTGGGGAAATGAATTTTAAATTATTTTGTTTTAATTATTTTCCATTTAAATATCCACCTGTGGCTAGTGGCTTTTGTGTTGGACAGCATAGTTACATACTATTCCAAGGGATTCACAGATCCCTGCAGCTCATCCATGAAATACCCTTGTCAATGGACCCCATGTTATGAACTATTTGTGATGATTACAGTGTTCTCATAATAATTATCTTTTTTTTTGAGCTTACTGGATACATGTATCATGCCATTTAATCCTGTTGAAAACCCCATGACAGAGCTAGAATGGTCATCCCCATTTTATAGATGTGATTACTGAGGCACTGAGAAGCCTACCATCTTACCCCAAGTGTTGTGCCTAGATCACAGTGGAGGACTGGGGACTGAAACTGAAGACCTCCTGATGTGAGACCTCAAGTCTTCCCTAACTCCCTAAAACCTGTCCTAAGGGTTTCACCAACTGAAGCCCCGGTTCCCTCCTGAGGCCTTGATAGAAATTATTTCTAGTAACCTAAAGAACTTCCATTCGCACTGCTATGCATCTTTAAAGTGACAAGCAAGAGCTTTGGGGGCTTCTCTTCTCCTTAAAGCCTCCAGCCCGGGCTCTACTGAGGCCATCTTCACGTTGGTAACTGAGTATTCTTCCATTAAGGTTTGTCTCTGATCTTCTCTTTGGCAGAGGGATGGTTTCCTGTTCTCCATTAGTCCTGTCTGATTCCCAAGGCCATAGAGGGTATGGTGCTGGTAAAGAAGTCGGGTTTCTCCATGTGGGATGCCAGCGACCACACATTGCCTCTCAAATAAAGAACCCGGAACCTTCATGCTGGGAATGCACTCTCTTTGCCTTCCTACTCTGGGCCAAGAAATCCCAAATCACAATAGTGTTCACAGGCCACAGGACCATATGGGTCCACACCCTACAGGTCAATCCTTCACCATGGCCTATGGAGCTTAACGAAACTCACTTCCACGTTGTGTCTGTGTCTCTACTCACTTCTAACTTCTAAAACTTCCCCTCATTCACCAGGCATATTCAGATTTTATCTTATCAGCCTGGAATTCTATTTTCCCCAATTCTTCCCCCATCAAAAAATTCCTTCAAGGCCCAGCCCAAATGCCATACACCTCCATGAAAACTTCCAGCCCCCAAGCTTCCAGAACATGGTACCAAAATATACTGCTTACATGTCTACTGATATGCTTTGGCTGTCTCCCCACCCAAATCTCATCTTGAATTGCAGTTTCCATAATCCCTACGTGTTGTGGGAGAGACCCGGAGGGAGGTAATTTAATCATGGGGGCAGTTACCCTCATGCTGTTCTCATGATAGTGAGTAAGTTCTCACAAGATCTGATGATTCTATAAGGGGCTTTTCCCCCTTTTGCTTGGCACTTATCCTTCCTCCGTCCATGTGAAGAAGGACATGTTTGCTTCCCCTTCCACCATGATTGTAAGTTTCCTGAGGCCTCCCCAGCCTTGCAGAACTGTTGAGTCAATTAAATCTCTTTCCTTTATAAATTACCCACTCTTGGACAGTTCTTTATAGCAGCATGAGAACAAACTACATCTACATAGCACTTTTTCCACACTGTCTTGTATTGCTTTTTTTTTTTTTTTGACAGAGTCTCACTTGGTCACCCAGGCTGGAATGCAATGGCACAATCTCAGCTCACTGCAACCTCTGCCTCCCGGGTTCAAGCTATTCTCCTGTCTCAGCCTTCCAAATAGCTGGGATTACAGGCACATGCCACCACACTCAGGTAATTTTTGTATTTTTAGGAGAGATAGGGTTTCACCATGTTGGCCAGGCTGGTCTCAAACTCCTGACCTCAAGTGATCCTCCTGCCTCGGCCTCTCAAAGTGCTGGGATTACAGGCGTGAGCCACTGTGTCCGACCTGTATTGCTTCCTGAGTGTGGGATCCATGTTGCTTCTTGAGTGTGTGGTCCATATCACATTCAGCTTTTAAATTTCTAACCTCATTGAACAGAGTGCTTGACAAGAAGTAGACACTCAGTAGACTAGTGGTTCTCAAACTTGTTAAAACACAGATTGCTGAGCCCCACCCAGAGAGTTTCAGATTCAGCAGGTCCTGGGTGAAGCCTGAGAATCTGCATTTCTAATAATCTCAAGTGACACTGATGCCACTGGCCTAGGGAAGCACTGTAAGCTTGAGAAGCACTGTAAGAGGTGTTTGTGGCATAAATAAAAGATGGAATCGATTAAAATTTCCCTTAAAAATCCTATCACCAAGGGCTCCAAAAATGAGCCTTCAAATGACCAGGATAAAAGAAATATATTACCAACATTTACTTCTAGATAAGAGGCAAAAATAGAAGCAGCAGAAAAAAAGAATGGCAACAAAAGATCAGGGAACCAGATGAAAAATGAAAACTGTCAGAAAAACTTTGGGAGCACCACTGTTGGTTTCCTTTTAGTCCTACCTGATAACTTTTTACAATCAGACCAGAAATTAAAAATAAGTTCATTTTTCCTTTTTTTTTTTTTTTAAACAGACTCTCACTCTGTTACCCAGGCTGGAGTGCAGTGGCACAGTCTCAGCTCACTGCCACCTCTATCTCCCTAGCTCAAGTGATTCTCGTGCCTCAGCCTCCTGAGTAGCTGGGACTACAGGTACGCGCCACCATGCCTGGTTACTTTTTGCATTTTTAGTAGAGACAGGTTTTGCCATGTTGGCCAGGCAGGTCTCAAATTCCTGACCTCAAGTCATCTGCCTGCCTCAGCCTCCCAAAGTGCCAGGATCACAGGCATAAGCCACCGCACCTGGCAATAAGTTCATTTTTCTGACTCAGTCATATATTTTTAAATATTCTAGGGAAACACTCTGACTCAGTAAAACCAAAATTGGGAAATTTTCATAAGAAAATAATCAGAAATGAATGTCAAAATGATGCACAAGGAGAGTTGTGAAGACCTGTTTACAATAACCAGAAATTTGGAACAACTTAAGTGTTTGGCAAAAGAAATTAGATTCAATAAATTATGGTATGTCCATAAACAGAATGCTATAAAACCTTTTCAAAGGTCTTTACAGGGGAATATTTATTGACACAGAAAAGATGCATGAGACAACAAATGAAAAAATAATCAAGCTAAAAAATAGTTTAAATAGCATGATCTAACTGGACAAAACCCACAAATAGATATAGAGAAATAGATAAAAACAGAGCTATGGAAAGAAAGCTATTTACCAAATTGGGAGTTAGGACAAAAATTATTTTTTAATTTTAACATTTCTATTTCAATCATTTCTACAATAAACACATACTGCTGTGTAATTTATTTACAGGGTCTTAAAAAATAAATGATAGTCTGTAGGCGGTTTATTCTCTCCATTTCTTCTCATGAAGGACCAAAGAGTTGAATTGAAGCCTGAGCATTTGTATAAGCTTTTCCCCACCCTGCCCTTTGGCAAACACCAACACAATTTGGGCTCCATTTATAAGGCATCTGCTGCACCAACCCTCTTTCTTGGTGCTTACTGGACCTGCTCAGGGTTAATTTCTAACTCAAAGAACCTAACTTTGAATAACTCCATACCACCGGCAAAGCGATTGACTTTGGGGAATGACATTTCCAACGTATCCACTGTTATTTGGTCACCCAGCAAACTGTCATTTTTCAGAAACCAGGGCTGTCTCACAGACTGCCTTTCAATAAGGTGGGTTGCTTAGCAACTGCCAAGGAATTCAGAAGACAGAATAAGGCATCTGCCAGAGATATTTTATGACCAAAATGAGCTGCACTCATGTGTCTGGTTGTGTTCAAGGTAACCAAGTAAGAGATAACACCGGACTATTTTTGCATCATGAGGAAAAATACTTGGCTTCTGCCCAGAAGGGCAATTATCTCAAAGTCTTGGCAGGCCCCATGGTATGAGAAATGGTAACTGATACGGGGGTGAAAAAAAAAAAATCACTGACCTTCATAAATACTGATGATATGAGGATGGTTGAGAGATGACATGATCTCAATCTCTCGTCTGATGTGAACCATGTCTTGTTCATCCTTAATTTTGTCCTTACGAATGGATTTTATAGCAACCTATAAAGTCAGGAAATGAAATGTTATTCAGAGAACTAAACAGATGCAAATCAGCCATTGGGGGAGTTTGGAAAATAAATACAGATGTTACTTGTTGGCAGAACCGACAATAACCAAAACAAAGCTTGGAAAAGCCCCCGTCATGTCTTTCATATATAGCAAAAACACTCTTCTCCCGGCAACAGAAAACATCAGGTTTTAACAGCCTGGGATTTGTGATGGTGGTTTTTGTTTTTGTTCTTGTTTTGTTTCGTTTTTGTTTTTTTCATAAAGCAGAGGCTGCTTAACACGGCCAGAGTCATTTACTCGAGGAACCCTGATGCTTTGAAAAAAGAAAAAAGGCAAGTTCAGTTTACAGGGTATTGATGATTAAACATGGTTAGGTGAAACTGGTTACCACTCAGCTCCACTGTGCAGCTGCCACAGCGGTGGCTATAAAGAATCATTACTGCCTGGCCAACCTCGAGGCCAGCTCTGCCTCAAGCCTTGGTTTTTAAGACTCCAGGCTATGCTGTGTTTACGCAAGGGCTCAGAAGCGAATTCCTTCCTACATCCTTCCTCTTGCTCAAGGCACCTTCAATAGCACATGGTATGACTAGAGGGCTCTTCTGGAGACAAATCAGGGTAAAACAAAGCGAGTGACAGCTCATCTCCCTGCCCGACCCCTGTCAATTCCCAAAGCTCAGTGCCAAAGTTGTAAATCCAAACTGCAGAGACCTGCTAGGGCCAACACACAGAGCAATTACTCAAAAGAAACACACCAAGAAAAAGGCAATGAATGACAACAGGAACCTAATAAGGAAAAGCGTGTTTGCCAATGGATTCATCTTTGCTCATAAACAAGCTGGTTGGTAACTTAATCAGACTGGCTCTAAGCGGGCCAAAAACTGCTTGAGGAAGGAGCATCCACGGGTAACAAAGACGCCCACCAATCAATGTGCTGCCGGATCAGAAAGCCTGCCCAGTTCCCTTCCAGGCTGGTCCTCTTGTGACCTCGACTCTCACCAGTGGAGGTCAGGTAAACTTTCCTAGGGGAAAGGCAGCTAAACCATCCTTCTGGATTATAAGGGCATAGAGTTATCTGGAGCAAAGAAAGTCCTCGTTATCAGCAACCCACGGCTACACCTTGCCTATCACACAGTCAACCCCAGCCAGCCTCAGCAGGGATATATTCACTTTTGGGAGCACGTGGTACTTCTGACTTGCACCAGCTCTCCACCAAGCACTACCAACGGAAACATTTCTAAAATACATCAGTCCGTCTATGACTCAACAAGAACTGGGTAGCTGTTATGACTGTTTTCGCTATGTGCTGACCTCCCAAAAAACAGGTTATGTCTGACTAGCAGCTCCCTGGATTTCTCCTTTGCAGTCTCCTTACCCCAGTGGTGATTAAGTCAGCATTTGTGTCTTTACTTGACTCTACACTGGTAGGGATCTTATTCACTGCTTTTTTTTAACCTCCAGTCCTTAACACCATGCTTGGCATATGGTAGACTCGAGAAAACATTTAGTGTAGACAGGTAGGCAGGTAGATAAAAAAGGAAGGAAACACGAAGGAAAGGAGGAAAGGAGGGAAGCTAAAGGGAGGGGAGGGTTGATGTTATTAACTGATGCAAGCTCAGACCAGAGAAGTGGTAGCAGAACCGGGGCAAAAAATGTGGCAACCACCCCAGTTAAATAATACTGCCAAGACAAGCATAATGGGAAGAAGATTCAGAATTTCTTTAACATCTATCTACACAGGCAATAGAGAAATAGATAAACAAATATAAAACACAGGAGGCCCTGCTGTAAACCCAGGGGCAGGCTCCACCTCCCTTCGACCGTGGGTGGACCCATGGCTGGATAGAAGGAGGCTGCATGGAGATGAATGAGCCTCCCAGCTTAAAGGCCCCTTTTCAGCAGAGAGCCAGACTCAGAGCTACCCCAAGTCCGCACGACAGCCCCATTCAGTATATGGCAAGAAAAACTTCCCTTCGCTTACGTCAAATGTAAAGATATGACTGGATGGCTTTATTTTATCTGAGGAAGGGCTGTAATCCTAGGACCTTGTTCTGGGAGGAAGCAGACAGTGAACACACACAGGCTGTGGAGGGTGTGGGTGGCTGCTGGAACAACTCCTACATTCCTCCATAAGCTAAAGATGGTCAACAGTAGAAACCACCCCTTTGATTATGCAGCAAGCTGAACTTGGCCTCAAGGAGGCTCTATTGTCAAGTTACAATAGGCATAAATTCTTCACGATGCAGGGTCAGAGGAGGGTAGCAACATTCTAAAGGGCAAGAAAATAAGCCCACTTGCTGATTCCCCCCTAACAGTCCAGCGAGGCGGAGGGTCCCACGGTGCAATCGCCAGGGGATGCTTTCAGCTGGGTGTGAAAAGGAAAGTGTCCACATTCTCATCAAGCCGTGCTCAGCACTGAGGAAACTAAAAGGGTTCCATAAATGTTAATAAGCATTGTGGCTGTCTCTCCACAAAAATGTTCCCTTTTCCTACAATGAGTTTTCCACTGAAAATGTAAAAGAGGGTGCATTCTGCTCCCCTATTTCAAAGGGGTGACAGGAAGTCAGGAGGAGACAAATGCTAGAAATCACTTTCATCTGTGCACCTGCCAAGGCTGGAGGGAAGACATTCAGCTCTACTCCCAGAGTGGTGGCAGACCCATCCAAGGTCCTGACAGCCAGTTAATGACAAAACAAAAAAACAATACTGCTACTAATAATAATGGCCAGCATTCATTAGCCACTTAATAGATGGAGCAGACACCATGCTGAATGCTTTACACACCGGGGATCTTTGCACCTTTCTCATTCAAGCCTCAGCTTCACACCACCCTCTTAGGGAGACCCTTCCTGACCCCTCTAGCTGATAAGGCCACCCTTATGGCCACCTCCCTCTCTCTATACCCTTCCCATTTTATCTTCTCTGGAGCATCTCACACCAACTGCTTTATTAGCTGCATATTCAGCCTGTTTTTGTAGGACTCAGGGAGCTAAGAATGGTTGTCATATTGTTTGAGGGTTGTAAAGAAAAAAAAAAAGAAAAAGAAAATCTCTAAACGCAGCTCCTGTAAGAGTGTCTGCTTGAGGAAGTTGAAGGATACACTGAGCCAGTGCACAGACAGTATTGCATAATGCTTAGGAACATGGCTTTAAGTCCAGGCTAAAGCCACTCTCTAGCTGTGTGACCCTGGGCAGGTTACATAACCTCTCTGTGTACCAGTTTTCTCATTCATCTAGTAGAGAAATAATAGTACCTGCCTCAGAGGTCCTGGTGAGGATTACATGTCAGGTGCTCAAGAATACGCCTGGGCCAGGGGGTCACTGCTCAATAAGTGTCAGTCTTTTTTAACCCAGAGTGAGTGTTCTATAAGTACAAACTTCCTTTCTTCCTTTCTTTTTCAGAGCAAACTTGAATTTCTCCTGGCTCCTCAAGGGACAGTCACTGGAGGTCTTAGGGACATGTTTCCAAAGTACATAAAGGACAAGAGCATCTCCATCCTGGGTCTTCACATTGCAACCTCACCTGAAATCAGGAAGATCAGATCAGCTGGTCACACACCATTATCAGCAGGGCTCCTGAGTCCAAACCAGACAGGAGGATGAACACCTTGAACCCAAAAAGCAATCCCAGGACCATTTCTCTACCCGCTGCCACACTGCCTCCTTTGACCATTCAGCTGAACAGGGCACAAATATGTTTCTACTTAAAATCAAAAGTCAGCCTCAAGATATTCACACTTCAGCCTATATGACATTTGGCTGTTCATCCACTTGTTCTTTTTGAAAACCTACCATGTACCAGGCTACACAGGAGGGAGCCAGCGCGACTGCTCCAGCCCTCAAGGTGGGAGGTGGGGTGGGGAGGGTACGGGCAATAAGCAAAACTCACACCAGTAATTACATAATTACCCTCATGGCCAGGGCTACCAAAGAAATGCACAGACATGCCCGGCATTGCAGAGGAAAACTCCTCTCCAGTTTTCCTCAATTCTCACATCTACAAAGAAACACAGAGGTAAGGAAGGGGCCCAGGAGGAAGAGATTACCAAACGTCTGAAATCACACACCCTTCACCCCCAAAAATCCCATTTGTTCCTGCACAAGTCAGAGAGCCTGCAAGGAGGAGGGAACTCAGGTGTTTGAGCCCGACTCACAGTACAGCCACATTCATAAATGTTCCCAAGTCTAGACAGCACCGTGCGCCTTATAAAACGGTCTGCTTTTAAATAAGGCCACCCAATGGTTTAATGTTTAAACCTTCTGCAGCAGCAGGTTTGGTGGAGAACCTGTGAATCCTGCCCTGTAGTGCCTGCCTGTTTCAGAAGCAAACTCAGCCCAGATAATTCCATTACATGCAACAGGCACAGCCTCCTCTTGAGGGTTGGAGGTTTTTCCTTTTTTGAATAATCACCAAAAACCACCTGCTCTGCGGCCTGCTGGGCATCCTCTCCCACATTCGCTGCTGTGGGTGTTCAGAGCTTGGTGACCTAGGAAGGGCTGGGGGATGCAGAGTGGAAGAGTACATGCTCAGACTGTCATCGGCTGGGTAACCTCAGGCAAGCCCAAACTTCCCAGGTCACAGTTTCCTCACCTGTAAAATGGGGTTAGAAAATCCTGTTTCTAGGGGTTGTTGTGAGGAGTGGAAACTAGGTAAGTAAAGGCCCCAGCGCACAGTATTCACTGAATGGCAGTGATTATAAACCATATTTAAGGGGTAATGAGCCCACAGCAAATCATATCATAGGTCTCTCAGCTCCCCTCCACCCCTACACATATCCTCCCCCTCCCCACATTTGCACAGTGGCAAAAGCAGGTTAAAATTAATATCTGGCCAGCCCCAGGGTATCCTGGTGTCTTATCGAGAGGATACCTGTGTAGTGTAGGACCAGCCTTGGGGGCGTGGCAGAGAGTCTGGGCAGGTGGTATGTTGTCGAGGCTCTAACCAAGAGAATCCCTGCCCTCCTCCTTCTGCAACCATCTCCCTGCATGCTCATTCATTGATATAAGCTGGCCTTCAAGGAGTATTCTTGAAATGCCTCTCAAATAGGAGTCACCTGTGCATCTTGTAAAAGTGTAGATTCTGAATCCATAGGTCTGGGGATCCAGCCTGGGATTCTGCATTTCCAGCAAGGTCCCAGGTGATGCCAGCCCCAGGGACCACACTAAGCCAGGTCTTAGTGCTTTGTCTTTGACCCTGATGTCTCAACATTTTTTAATCAATGGCAATATTCTTAATAATAACAATAACTAGTATTCCTTAGGTGTTAACCACATGCCAGTGGACTTTCTCATTTAAGCCTACCTACAATCCCATTTTGCAGATGAGAACATTGAAGCCAGGAAAGATAAATATTTCCCAAAGTTACATAGTTTGTTTAAAAAAAAAAAAAAAGTGGAGCTAGAATTTAAGCCCAGAGGCTGCTGACTTTTAAGGCTATGAATAAAGTCGGGATGAATAGAAAACATCACAGGGAACAGAATCTCCTGTAGGATCAGAAAGGGTCCCTAAACCTAGTGAGATGGACCCCCCTCCAAGCAGATGAAGTTTTACAAGGTCATATGTGAGGTCCCAAAAGGAGGGACTGGAGGGCTGAGCAGCAGGGAAGAAACACAGTCATAAATATGGCATTAGCATCGCTTAGTGAGAACAAGTTTGCATCCTAATCCCAGCAACACGAGCTGGCAACTTCCCTGCCATTCACAAGGTGTGATCTCATACCCAGGCACGTTCCACAGGAGCTGCAGGGCACGAAGTCAGAGGCAACACAGGGGATCTCTTCTTACCTAGGAGCCCAAAGGCCACCTGCAGCAGGAGCGGGCAGCCAAGCCCAGCTGGAAGCTAGGGTAAAGGGCTCCTGCTCCTGCCTGGGAGATGGACAGAGTGTGGGGCAAGGCACGGCCCCACCGAGGCCACACCGGTCCAAAGCTCCCAGGATCGCCAAGTGGCTTTCACTCAGAAAGGCTCTGCCCAACGACAGTCACCACGGTGATGTCACCCATCTTGCAAACAAAGCCCCTAATTAAATGACCCCCAGCTCTTTACGGAGGGGCCTGGCCAACTCAGAACAACCCCCCAGCAAGTTGCCATGATGCAATGGGCCCCATGGGAACCAAGCCAGCTCTGCCTGGGGCCCATGGGCCTCTTCTTCCCTTCCTCTTTGGCCTGTTGGTTCATGTCCTACATGAATGTATTTCAGAAGGAAATGGATTGGAAGCCAAGAGTTGTATCAGCAGGCTCTGAGGCGAGGCACTGAAGTCAGGGAGCACGGCATGTGTAGCTAGGAGCTTTTCCTTTAAAGAGTGGCATCCCCTCACTAGCCCCCATCAGCCCTTCAATCTTATCAGAGGTTCTGAAAATTTAAGCCTCTGTAACTTGGTTCTCAAACCTCTATTTCTCAAAATTCTCCATTAAAGAGATGAGGATTCCTGTGATGATATCGATTTCTCTCCTGCCATGAAAAACGCATTCTATTTTCAGAACATAAACAACAAAGCAGATTGGTGCTTGACTGGGCCTGGGCCAGCTCAGGAGGGCCTCAGAGGGCTGGGACAATTTTATCTACAGGGACAGTCATTCCTTGGTCTCTAAGGCTCACCCCCACACCTCTCCCCTTCAAAGACTGAGCTAAGAATGTCATTATTGCAAGCGGTGATGCCACAAGGGAAGTGGAATTAATGACTAAGAAATAGTAGGCAGATTTACACTCCCTGTCGAGGTATGTAAACATAAGATACAAACCGTGGCTGACCAGGCAAGAACCAAAGAAATAGCAAAAAGGCCACTGTAAAGTTCGTGCTGAGTGGGCATGCCAAAAGTGAGCCACAAATCAGCCTGAAAAGGACAGTCAGAGACTCCAGAGCACTATCTGTCCAAGGGTGGTGAGCAGATCACCTGCCTCCGATCCCCTGGTTAGGGGGAAAGGGGAAACATTGCTAAAATGCAGATTCCTGGGCCCACCCCAGAGCTAGTGAATGAAGGTGGCGGTGTCCAGGGTAGGGGGCAGACCTGGTCTCAGCATTCTTTACAACCTCCCAGGTGATTCTGCTGCACTCTGAGGTTTGAGGGCAGTCACCTTAAAGCAGGGCAAATGTGGCCCTGATGATATCTATTATTCTGTAGCTTAAACAGGAAGCAGTTATGTTACACACTAGATGACTGATGAAAATTAATGAAACTTCCATTTATACAGAGGGGAATTAAACACAGGCTTCCTTGAGGGGGCTCGGTGACTTGAATTAATTCACCCCTGGTAAATGGAAAGTTTGCCTCCAACGGGTATCTCCCTAGTCCCAGCCCAAGGTGGGCCTGTGGATGAAGTGAGGCCAGGGAAGCTGGGTGCGGATGGGTTACTTCACAGTCTACACATACAACCCAGAGCATGAGAAAGCCTCTGGTAACACAAGAGACGCTAACACAGGCAATATCAGATTCAAAGAAAGACTGAAAATGCCAGGCTGTTTAGCTGAGACTGGAGTTGCCAAGCAGCTGTTTATTTTTGGACTTTCACGTCTCTGAAGCCAAATGCAACACCAAATCAGAATTCTAAAGTGCAACTGTTTTTCTTCCAGGTTACAATTACCCTGGGGAGGGAGGGAAAGGGCTGGGCCAGAGGGCTGAGGTTGCTTACAACTTGGACAGCCTCAACCGGTAGCATCTGATCACTCTGACACTGTTTATAACAAGGCTTGGATAAGCTTAAGGTTCTGCAACTTTTATTTATCAACCTCCAAACTCAGAAGAACCCAAGCTAGTACTACTAAGAAATCCAGCATCTGCACCTTGGGCTCGTCGTCAGTCACAGCAACTCAGCCAAGGCGACTCCTATAAGCAGAGGGACTTGGATGATTACGCCACCGGCTCAGTTTCCTCACCTGCAAATGAGGACGATGATGGTACCAACCTCACAAGGTTGCCGTAGCAACATGGCAGATTGTGTATATGATGGATGGCAGAGAAGGCAAATAGTACCTATGGCAGAAGCCAAAATGAGCACTGTTATCATCAGTGGATGTTAGAGCTGTAAGGACTTAGAATGTTCTACGCCAAATCTCCTCATGTTACAGATTGGGAAACTGAGTCCCAGGGAGGTTAAAGTACATACAGGCCCCCAGTTCATGAAGTTATCGGTAGCACTGGAATTGCAACAAGAGAGTCCTGATTCCCACTCCAGGAGGGATAAACACTCTGAGCAAGGGGTCCTTCCTAACCAAATACAAAGCCACAGTGAGCAGCAGGGCTGAAACTGCCACAACAAAATTCAACATTTACATGGGAGGCTGGCCCCAGTCACAGCCAAGTCCCCAGAACTGTTGCATCATTAATAAACCCAGATGGGAGTGGCAGATACTCTTCAGGGTGCTGACAAATCATGACTTGTGTTGCAGCATGGTACATTTCACCTCCAACTATTGTCTGTCTTCACATAGCTATTCCAGAGACGCTGTTTTCAGTTCAGTTCTATCCAAACCTTCCTCCAATTTCTGAAGACTGATTTAATATCACCCATGAATACGCATACTTGGGAAGTTTCCATCCCATTATTTCTTAATTCATTGCAAACATTGCTTTTAAATAACTTCAGGCCACTACTGAATCCCTAACCTTGGGGACAATGAGCTAGGAACACAGAGACCTAAGAAGCAAAATTAGTTTTCCAAAGGGAAAGGAAATTAGTCAGTTGAGTTCAGCTGATCCAGGTGAGCAGAACCAAAAAAACTTTTCTTCATTTCTTAATATGGTAAAATACAACAAGCAAAAAAGAGGCATGATTTTCTATCTTATTTCATACTTTAATCATGAATGGTTTTATAAAAAAGTGAAAGAGAAGATTCTGCAGAAGTTATTTTTATCCAGACAGAATCTCTTCTGTATAGAAAACTGATTTAGAGCAATCAGGATGTATAAGACCTATTGGATAGGGTGGGAGCAACGGTGCAGGCTGCTGTCTGTCCCCCAAAGCCTCTGGAAAGCACTCAGGAGCCCCTGAGGCCTCTCTCATTATCTCCTCACAAGCATCTTTTTCTTCCAAGAGAAGCTCTCATTGTCCATTATTCCTAGAGTTAACAGGCTGGTCCCTGCTCCGCAGCCCATTGCAAGATCCGTCGGGAGGCTTGTCATCTCCCTCATTAGTGCTCCACAAGCCTGCCTGCTGGGATGCTCTTGCTCATTGCAAATGCACAGCCCCAAGAAACCGCAGGCTGAGCTCAGAGGCGTGTGCTCGACCCCAGCGAGCATTTCCTGCCATCCCAGCACGGGGATGAGCCTCGCCCAGTACTCAACTATCAGTTCCTACCCTCAAGGAGGCTGAGGCAGGGGTCTGTGGTCATCTCAGAGACCCAAGTTGTGCCCTGGGTTGGGAAGTGTGCTCATGCCCCTAGACATGCACCTGCCATTTTCTCTGCCAGGATCCTCCACACCCTGTCCTTGCCATTAACATTTTCAGTTGACCAACTCCTCTGCATCCATCTGCTGCAGGCATGGCCCATCCCCTGCAACGACCCCTTTGCAGATATGGGTCCCCTTTTATAACCTTGCTCACCATTGCTCATTTCGTGCTTCATTTGCACGAAAACCATTTCTGTTTTATGCACCATGGCATCTCCCGTACCGAGCATGCACCTAATGTATGGTATATACAAAAAAGCAGGAACCCAAGTATTAAGAAGGACCCTTGACAAACAGAAAACCATAGTGGGGCATCTGATCATTCTGGTCAACCTAAACCCCAGCCACCTGCCCCTGAGCCTTCTTTTACTTGCTCACCTTTCAAATGTGGAATCCCTTCTTGTCCCAAAATCACTGAGCCTGAACGTCCTCATCTTCCAAATGGAGATAATAACAGTGCCCACTCCAGAGGGGTTGGGGGTGATTCACAATCACAGCTAGCAATCATAATAACTACCAGTTATCAAGCCCTCACTATGTGCCAGGCCCTCAGTACCTTTCTGTTAAGCCTCTCAACCTCTCACTCGTTAAATTCTTACAAAAACATTATTATTTCTGCCTTCTCAATGAATATAACCTGAGTCTGAGGGAAGTTAAGTAACATGCCCTAAGGCACATAAATAAATAGGAGATCTGGGTCTCCATATGCCGAAAGACCATACTCTTAACCTCTGAAGCACACTGACAAAGCAATCAGCACAGTGCCTGGCACATTACTATCATCCCCAACCCCTCTGGTGTTACATAAATACGTACTGAATCAGAACCTCTGGACATGAAGGCCCCATCAAGGCCACACTGCCTTGTCTCCACCAGAAGTCCTTTTGTTAGCTAATATTTAAACCATTTCCATCTTCAAAAGCACACCTATCAATCAGTGTTCCTGCTGCTTTCTGTGGGACCAGGTGGGCAAAAGGCAGAATTGTATGGGAGGGGCTGGGAGGCATGTCCCTAAAACGATGTGGGAATGAGTCAACTCCACAGCAAGCAATTTTGGAAAATCTGTTCTGGATAAGGCATTGATCCAGTCCTAGAGAACATGACCTAGACCTACCCTTCAAGTTGCCTACCATCCAATGGGAGAGGCCAGTAGTCACAGGGGGTCCTCCCCACCCAGCCCCTATTCACCCTCCTTTTGGTAGGAACACCCTGACTTCACTGTGGGGACTATCCCTACCTCCCAGATGCCTTTCGAAAGAGACCAAGATACTTCACCCTCTCCCATGCCAACAGGCAGGCATATGACTCTAGAGCTGGCCCTGGAGATGCTCTTTCTAAGGTTTCAAGAACCGTCCCAGCAAAGTGTTCTTTTGGGAGCCCACAGGCACATGATGTGTATACACAGAGATGGGGCCTCCTGAGAAGTCATTCCATGCATGGCTCCCTCATTTCTATCCCTGTGTCTTTCTCTCACTCCTAAATAAGAATCAATTCAAACCAGAAAACCGAGTCTCACTTTGCTCAGCTATTGATTTTCCTGTTTCCAGAAAGAGCCAAGGCATTGTCGCTGCTGTCGCTTTCTCGTACTGCGTGCCTTACACTCAGTCATCTCCTCCATAAAGTGGGCCTATTTCACTTGACTGGTGCTAGTTGAAATGCAGTCTTCAGGACCCACGTAGATGTCATTTTTATAATAACTTCCTCAAACACCACAAAATGCAATATTAAATTATTGTGGAGCTTTGTCCCGTTTCGGGGGAGGGATTCATTAAGGATAACACTGACCTACTTTGCACAAAGGTGCAGGAAGTGCAGCCGCATTCTCTGCCAAAAAATGTTCACACCTACAAAATATTTACCTGTCACTGTCCATGCTACATAATGACAGCTTAACAAAAGGGAAAGTCATTAATTGTCAATGCCCCAGACATAGCAAGCAGAGACTGCAAGCCAGGAACTGCCGTGTTCCCCTCTGTGTCCTCAATATCTAGGAAAGGATCTGGCTCTATAGTAGTAGAATTCCAATAAATATTTGTTGAGCTTAATTTTAACAAAAACGATGACTATCGTAAGTCTTAATTTGTATAAGAATTATTCCTTTCTTACACATCCACCCACTACCACCAACTTGGCCCAATATCTACAAGTTGCTGAAGTCGGGCAATCTACCCAGATTCCACTCTGGTCCAAGTGGCCTCTGTACTTGTGGCTAAGACCACAGATCCACGGAGGCAATGCCATGTTGCATGAATGACCTCCCACTTGTAGATACGATGTCATCCCACTTTCTTTTATTCCCCCCACCACCACCCCATAAGACAGGCTAGAAATTTTGCAGGAGAGGAAAACAGAAATCGAAAAGAACTCCCCAAGTTTCCACAGGTCATGAAGGCCCCACCCAAGTTTCAACCCAGGTACTTAGATCCGATGGCCAATGCTGCTTCCACTGGACCACACCTGTTTCCACATTTGTCAAATCTATGGAAATGTGTGCTAAGGAAGAAAACACTCTTAGCCCTGGCATTGAGATGCTTCCTTTCTCTGGAGTGTAAAGCCTTGGGGGGGAAACTAGCTCAGATAGCGGATTGCTCAAATGTCATGGAAGGTCTGGTCGGAGAGCTAATCAGAACAATTTGAATGTGCGGCTAAGCAAGGACACTCCTTCCTGGATCAAGCGTTGCTTTGATGGCAATACTTTATAAGAACCATTCCCTTACAACAAAACTGTCAAATCCAGCAACCACAGGCCAGAAACATCCCTGCGGAACCCCGCCAAGCTGCTTTCTGATGTACTGTACACACAAATACCAATATTCCCCAGATGTTCTCCATGTAAAACATTTGGTTTGAGACACTGCTCTTCTTTCCCAAAAACTTTTACATTTGTTTAATGGACTCATACAGTTCAGCTAAAATATCCTGGAGCAGACATCTGAAGCCAGCCCGGCTCTAATGTGAGCATCCCATCTGTGGAAAAGACGAACAAGTAAATAAGACCGTCCTTCCCAAGATTTATGCTCCTTGCATCTTTAAGCAGGTCATAAAATGTAAGCTATGTAAGGATAATAATGCAAGTTGCTTTCAAGTGTGTTTCTGAGTCCATCTCAGTATTAATCTAAGACTGATGTTCCAACAGAGACTGGGTCTCGCATGCTAACGAGGGGACTAAATTCTACTTCTTACTGCCTCAAAAAAGAAATCTAAAAATCTGTCACCTGAGCAACATAGATGATTGAGATACAGGTAGGTTTTTCCTGGTTTTAATTATCCAAATATAGCAATAGCTTCTTTATGCCAAAACCACTATCCCTTAACCTGTAGTGTAAAACACAAGAAAGAGGTAGCAAAATAGGGAATGCACTTGACCTTGAGTCAAGAGACCCAGTTCAGCCACATCCTAACTGAGTGACCCCAACCAGCCTTATTTACCCCAAGGCAGCTCATCCTGTTACCCAGAAAACACAACTTCATGCCTGGAGTGCTATTCAGCCCTGAAGACTTTGGGGAAGGGAAATAAGCCCTTAGAAACGCCACTCAAAGAAATGCCATGGATTCCACACACAGAGCCCCTGCAGATGGTCACCCATAGCTTTCCCACTAACACAATTACGAGGAAAGCTTAGTCACAGAAAATCTGTAGGGAAGCTGGAAAAAAATGGAATTAGAAAGCTGAGAGACACAGCCTCACTGACAGAAGCAAGACATGACAACTCACTTTCCCCTTAATCTTTAACTTTTCTGTATCTGGTGAGTTTTCAGTATTGAGCATGCACTATTTTCGCTAAGGGAAAAGAAGAATTTTATTTTTTAAAAAGGTCACAAAGAGGAATGAAAGTTAATGAGGGAGATGACAGACACAAACTATAAATAGTAGACATGAGAACTCCAAAACACAGTACAGAGGACCATCGAGGAGAATTTTCTCAAACTCATCAAGAAAAGGTTTTAATTACCTTCAAAGAGCTTTGTTTTAAGAAGGCAAGAAAGTGTGCATCCCGATGAAAAAGAGTTCCTAAATGCCTGCAATGTTTAAGAGGATTGGCTCTTAAATGGGTGAGCTTCAATTGTCTGGAGAAAATACATATTTAGAGCACTCTATTATAACTTATTAGTATTTCCACTTAACCAAAGCATCCAATTAACCAGCATTCTCCATTCCGTTGACTGAGGCTCACGGCAGGCTGAACACTAGAGGCTGTTGGGCTACTCTCCGCTCTTCCCACACCGGTCCACACAATGAGCCAACTACCCACCCTCATCTCAGCCAAGTCTACCGCTTCCAGTACGGCAGTCTCTACAGACCACGGCCTCCAACACGACCAGAAACTTACAGCACCACTGCAACTGGCCCTCTGCTAAGGATAAGAAGTCCAATTTCAGACTTAGATTTGCCCTCATCATTGCCAAGAAAAGGCAAAGTGATGTGAGATGTCATACAGAAAATGCCCAATATTGTGCCCAACATCCAGTATATGCTCCAAAAACACTGGCTGTTCTTATCATCTTTATTAGTATAATAATAACAAACAGACTTTATGCAGAGGTGTGTTCAAATACAAACACCACAATGAGAACTTCAAAATCTGAGACTCAGAGAATAATGTCGGGGGCAAAGTGAGAAGGGGGCTGGGAGAAAAACAGCAGCTGTCGTCTCTTCTGAGAAGCCATTTCAGGTCACCCCACTAACAGAAGTCCCTCCAAATGTACTTCTGTAGCCCCCAGGGAATTGATTTCGCAGGATGGAATTATTTCCCTGAAATAAACAGACAGTCAAAGGTCACTACAACTGGGGCCTAAAAGAAAACAAGCCAGCTGCCAATTTACAGGCAGCCTATGATGCAAGATAGCAAGAGGTCTCGGCCCAGGTCCAGTGCAATGGCTTCGGACACACCAGTCCCACAGGGGCGAGGATGGAGAAGGGGGCTCACCTTCCTGTGAGCAAGGTTCCAGCTTGACCAGGCATGGATGGGGACACCTTCAGGAGAGCAGACCCTTGAACCTCTGCTGTCAGCACGCTCTAGCCAGTGGCTCTCAGCCCTAGCAGTGCATTACAGTGACCTACAGGTAGGTCACTGATACTCGGGTTCCTTCCCCAGACAGCCTCCTTTGGTTAGCCTGGGGAAAAGTCCAGACGTCAGTGTTTTGAAAAGATCCCAGGTGATTCTCATGCTCAGCCAGGCCTGAGAACTAGTAGCCACATAGTGGAAAGAACCCACAGTCGGGTCAGGTAGACCCGAGTTTTTAACTCCAATGCTGTCTTGCTTTCTTGAGCAGATCAGCCACTCTGTCTGAGCATCGGTTTCTTTTAACCCTAAAGTGAGGACGATCATCACTCCCCATCACAGTGTTGCTGTGAAAATCGTACAAGATAACGTATGTAAACTGCCTCATCTAGTGTACCTTGCAGAAGGCACACACAAGGTGGTTTCTAAATGTTAACCCCTCCTCATTTCATGCTTCTCTTTTCAAGGTATTCCCATGTGGGATAGGAGTTCTAAGCAGCTCTCAGTTCTAAGGGGTCTCTTGCCTTTCTAAGTGGTTCAAAAAGGGTGGGAGGCTGGGCGTGGTAGCCCACACCTGTAATCTCAGCACTTTGGGAAGCCAAGGCCAGCAGATCACTTGAGGTCAGGCATTCAAGACCAGCCTGGCCAACATGGTAAAACCCCATCTCTACTAAAAATACAAATATTAGCCAGGCGTGGTGGCAGGTGCCTGTAATCCCAGCTACTTGAGTGGCTGAGGCACTGGAATCACTTGAACCTGGGAGGCAGAGGTTATAGTGAGCCCAGATTTTCCACTGCATTCCAGCCTGGGGTACAGAGCGAGACCCTGTCTTGGGGGAAAAAAGTGGGGGTGGGGAGGGAGGTACATCCTTCCTGAGAAGCAGGTATGAACGAAACTGCTGACGGAATGGGGTGGTGGATCCCTACACACACAAAGCACACACACAAAGCACACACACACACACACCCCCCCCTATTGGGTGAAACAGCAAAACTATGTAAAACCTGAGTCACAAGCAGCAAAAGTGAGGAAAATCCAATCTTAAAGATTTGCTTTGCTTTTCCTGTCTAGAAGAAAATCTATCTTGTGTGTGACACTTTCTCAGAAACTCTTTGCCTGTGCTTCTGCCTCCTCCATCAGACCAGGTGAAGTCTTATGCCTGGGTGTACGACACAGGGCTGCTGCACAGTAGGCCCAAGGGAATGTCCATTGAATAGTTAAGCTCCTTGGGGGCAGAGGTAGACATTTGTAGACCAACAGTGCTCATAACATCCACATGTGGTAATCCCCTAAACAGGCATTTCATAAGTATACCAGAACTTTGATTCCAAGCAACTAGCAGAAAAGGATAAAAAGGCACACTGGGCATTCAGGAGGCAGCTGCCCCAAGTCCAGTGGCCACGAGCAGCAGTATCACAGCAGTTCAGGATTTTCAGATCTTACAAGGAGTATAAACATGGGCAAGTGACTTAATTTTCTGTGCCTGTTTATCCACCTGAAAAATGGGGATGATAATGGTGTTCACCTCTTAGGGTTACCATGGGGATGAATTCAGGTCAGTGACTGACATGCTTAGACTACTGCCTGGCAAGTAATTGCTGCTATGTAATTGTTTGCCACTATTATTACTCCATGATTGGATAACAAGAAAGAGACCTCAAGTTTCAGGTCCAAATAGGAGCCCTCCATTTATCACAAGAGAAGGTATAGACTACAGAAAATGGTGTGGTGTATCCCCAAATGAATACAGCAGCTAGCTTCCCGTTGTCCAGAGCTGTGTTCTCAAAATAACATATGGACTTCCCCCATCACATTCACTTGAGTTGCTTCGTTAAAATGCAGAAGATACTCAGGTGTCCCTAAGTCCCACCCCAACCCTGTTGAATCAGAATCAGACTCTCTGAGGTCAGTGACAAGGATGGCATATTTTAACAGGTGCACCTAGGAGATTCCCATATCCCTGAAAATTTAAGAGCCACTGGATTGAATAAGCTCCTTACCTAAAGCATCTATGTCTGTTTGCTCATCACTATATACCCAGAGCCTCGCATAGCACCCAGCCTGTAGTCCATGCTCGACAAATATCAGATGAATCCACTCCATGGTTTCAACTCTACAAGTATGTGTTCCATTTGTTTGCAGGCCCATTATGTGTGAGGCTCATGCAAAGCAATGCTGATTCAGGCAATTTCATTCATTCTAAAAATCGTTACTGGGTGCTTAGTGCATACCAGAAACTGTTCTAGACACTGGAGACACAACAAATGTGATGAACGAGGTTGCTCAGAAATATAATACTTTATAGATCATAATGCGTGCTGTGGAGCTAATAAAACAAGGTAAGGGGCCAAGTGTGTGCCACGTCCTCATTCAACCCAGTGTCTAGAGCAGCACTAGTCCTGCCCAGCAGAACTTTCTATGATAATGGAAATGATCTATTCTGCAACATCTCATGATAGCCACTAGCCACATGGGGCTACTGGGCACTTAAAATGTGCCTGGTGCCACCGAGGAACTGAATGTTTTATTTAATTTAATTACAATTAATTTTAACTTTAATAGCCATATGTGCCCCTATCAGACAGTGTAGGTCAAGAGGCAAAGAGGCAGATATGTGAGCTGGAAATTACAACACAAGGCAATATGAGCTATAAGGAGGGGAAGACAGAGCACCATGTGCTATATCAAATGCCTCTCACCCAATTACCAGATGCCCTAATGTTCTCTGGCTCTGGGAATTGAAAGAACAAGGTCAGGTACGAGGCATTGTGCTTGGGCTGGAATTTTTACAGCCCATGAGCAGTTGAAAATGGTATGCAGCCCAGCCAAGCCCCAGAGACTGCAGCTCAGGATCACACCATCATCTGCAAAGCCAGGCCACAGCTGCCAAAGAGATCTCTTTCCTCCCGTCATTCTGCTGATGGTCATTTTGTCCTTGGCTACAACGTCCCACTGGGCCCGAGACACTGCAAGGATTTTATGAGATTTCTTCGCTTCAAGCGTAAGCACGATTACAAGCCTCCTAAATTCCACCGGAAAATTGGTGGCTAATCCAAACATTTCATAAAATTAGAACTCACTGTGGGGCTGAATGGAATTCAGACTGTGCCGCCACCAGAGAAATACAAAATATTCATTATAATTTTTTCCTTCATGAGCTGTTTTGAGAAGCAAGTGCTTTTTCTGCTTGAAGCAGAGGGGTTGGGGGAAAGGAAGAGTTTTTGTTTTTGTTTTGTTTTCTCTGCGGTTTGCAAAAAGCATCACCAGATGAAAAAGTAAGGAACCCTGCCTGACTCCCCAGTCCCTCAACTAGCAGGAATAATAACAAACCATCCCAATCTTAACTGTTCTTGCCTTTATAAAGGCAGTGTTTTTCCTGGAAAATGGGATTTTTTTTCCCGGAAAATTGGATTTTTGCTCCTTAACTTTTTTCTTAGGCTTCAGCCCTAGAATTTTTATATCCTGAGATCTCATTAGCAGAGGAGACACTGCAATCATTCATGCATGCGTATCAGCAATATTTACTTGCCAAGCACTGTTCTAGGCACTTGGGGTACATCAGTAGGCAAAACTGATGAAAACCCCTGGCCTGGTGGAGCTTGCCTTTTAGTAGAGGAAGACAAACAGAAGAGAATCCAGCAACTGCCACTTTGAAACAATTTTGGCGCAAGGCATGAAGATTCATAAAATGCAGTTTCTAGAAGGAGCTTGAATGCAAGCTGCAAGGAAGGGAGCAGAAACGTCATCTGTCTCACGATGGCTGTCTCCCTACCATCTAGAGTGGTATCTCACACAAAGAACGTAATCAATACATATCTGTTAAATGGCCGGGTGTGGTGGTTCGTGACCATAACCCCAGCACATTAGGAGGCTGAGGCAGGTGGATCACCTGAGGTTAGGAGTTCGAGACCAGCCTGTGCCCCGTCTCTACTAAAAAATACAAAAGTCAGCTAGGTGTGGTGGTGCACACCTGTAGTCCCAGCTACTCGGGAGGCTGAGGCAGGAGAATTGCTTGAACCCGGGAGGTGGAGGTTGCAATGAGCCAAGATCACACCACTGCACTCCCACCTGGGCGACAGAGCCAGACTCCATCTCAATAAATAAATAAATAAATAAATAAATATCTGTTGAATGGATAACAAATTCTAAAACAAAAATCTGGCCCAGAGCGCTCATCTTACAGATAAGTTAGCTGAAGCCATGGAGGGACATGTCTTGCCCAAGGTCACACAGCTTAAGTTGTGGCAGTGATGGAACCAGCAGTCAAGTCGCCCAACATACCCAGACTCATAACAGTCCACAGCCATTCGACAAATATTTATTGCATTCTGACTGCGTGCCAGGCACTGAACTAGGCGCTGGGAGGAAATAAATGAGTAAGACATAGAGCGACTGGGATCATGAAATTAAGTTCTTCATACTGCTATTTTCCCAAGCACGGAGGCAACTTCTCTATGCTTTAAGTCCGGCTCCAACAGTGGTTGTAATCGCGAACGCTGAAGTCAGACGGTCCAGCCCTACATCCTGTGATCCCGGCTCTGTGACTTTGGGCGAGCGGTTGGACTTCCTCTAAGCCTCTGCTTCCTCATCTACAAAATGAATGTGATAATAATACAGGTTTGAAGGTGAAAAAGCGGGAAATAGTTAGAATAGTGCCTGGTGCACACTGATCACTCAATGATTCCTGCTGTTAGGGTTGTTAGGGGAAGGATGCTCCCTCTGCCCTGGACCTTCCTGCACAACCAAATAAGTGGAGACTTCCACTTCATTTTTCTCCTCTCTAGGATCTCTACTACCTGCTTCACGCCCACACACTCATTCGCTTCCTCCCTCAGTATTCCATTTGGTCCTGCCTGAAAAACAGATACCCAGAAACCATGAGGAAGATGCAAAATGAGGTTCTCCTCAGGGCAGCAAGCACATCACTGCCCTGTCTTTCCAGGCAAACACGTTCACGGCTGGGCTTTGAGCTCACCAGAGAAACAGACCATTAGCCTCCTCCCTGCATGGCTTCTGCTAATAAAAGAAAGCGTTCACTTCCAAATCTACTAAGAATCACACAAGGTAATTATCTTGCCTCAAGGACCACTGAGAGCTTCTAAGGTTTGCTGGTATCTGTCTTAATTGATACTGAGAAAGCCCAGGCTGCCTAACGGATGTGTTTGATAGAAAGTAATAAAATTCTGAGAGATTAAAGAAGAAAAAAATACAACAAGAAATCAGTCTCCTTAAAAGGACCAGCAAGGAGGGATAAATGTGGACCACAAAGACTGAGGATCTTCAAATGCCAGGGTTAGATGTACACTCTAGAAGCAAGAGGTGGGTGAACTCATTGGGGCAATATCTTACTCTCTGTTGCCTCCCCCTGTGCCTAGCACAGTGCTATTCGAATAAATATTTTTAAACCAGCTACCTGAGAGAGGCAGAAGGGAACACCTGCCACAAGAAAAAATGACAGTTATTTCTACTCTTTCTTGGGAAGCAGTCTAGGCTCATAATTTCGAGCTCAGACAGACATGGGTTGCCTTCCTGCCATCATCCCCAAATTACAAACAGTGGGGCCCTGGGCCTCAGTTACCTCTGGGCAAAGTCAGGTGACAGCATCTATCTCATAGAATGGTTCTA